AATAATTTCATCTGTATATAGACTTAACACTAATACGTGGTAGAAGGAGAGCGGATACAATTTTGTATGAAGTTGATAGCAGTGATATCCCACAATAATTAGTACATTCAACTTTAGCGTCCTCATTGTATATCGGTACAATAATAAACTATATTACCTCGCCCAATATGTATGGTGATAGAACGTTGATAATATATTTTTTTATTGCTAGTGGGATGGGACTAAGTCCCTTGTACTGCGGCCATTTCTGGCCTATTTTACCAGCCCCAGATGCTAGGTGAGGGTGATTGTGGAGCAATTGGAGGAATGAAGATTAGCAGGGGAAACCGAAGTACTCGGATAAAACCCGCCCCAGCACCACTTTGTCCACCACAAATCCCACTTCACCAGACCCGGGATCGGACCCGGGCTGCCGCGGTGGGAAGCCAGCGACTAACCGCTTGAGCTACGGCGCGGCCCACAGAACGTTGATAACCATTGCTTCTGATTAGTACGTGCTGAAGAAAATTTTGGCTCCTTATCAAAGTCGACAAGCAGCAATTTGCGCGAAAACTTTGGTCGTGACGCACAGCATGACAAGCCATAAGTTTTTCACTTGTGCAATTGTGTCCCTTTCACAATCGCCATCACATCCCATCATAAAAGAGCCGATGTTTTTAACTAAAGCCAGAGTCTTTTCGGCATCCTTATATTTCTCGCTACGTAGATGTTGGCTGATGTCGCTTCTGCCTCCATGAGCAACAGAAAAGTTGACATTACGATGTTGGCATACCACTTTAATAAAGTTTAATTCTTTCTCGAGATCGTCATTAAAACTGCAGTTTCGCCTCTTTGACATTGCAAGGATAGACTTAAAGCTTTAAAAAAGTAAGACTTAAAAATTCCGCAAACGAACTATACCGATCGAGCGACCGCCGCTTGTCGGCGAAATTAGTGCCAACTTTAGCGGTTAGAGGGTGTCGCGTGGTCAGCGCTACGAATCCCCAAGGCCATTAATTTTGGCTTTCTAGACCGGGGCCGCTATTTCCTTGAAATAACTCCTCAGTTATCCTCACGAGGTTCAGTGGACCCCGTTCAGACCCACTACTTCTCAGAAAATCTGGTAGTGCCGGAAATCGAACCCGGGAACTCTGAATCTGTAGCCAGGAACTCTGACCACTAGACCACAGAAGAGGGGGGGGGGGAATTAAACCACTGACATTGAATAACAAAGCCACCAGTTAGCATACAAACAGAAAAATAACATCACTGCAGATATCGATACTTAGTATCGAACAATGCGACTCCATGATTATACAAATTACTGGTATCCATGATATTGATAAGTAAGGGTATCCCTGTAACAGGCCGTAGAGGCCCATAGGGTTGTGAGATGTTGAGGTTCCCACATATTCTAGACAATCGGCTCATAGATGACGGTAAGATTGTCAGCCTTTTGCCCCAAAGAACATTCCAAGAATGATCCTGGTACTCATTTCTGTTAGAGGCTGAGTCGACCCCAGGGCCATAGTGCTGCTGGAAGGATTAAGTTAACTGAAAAAAAAATCAAATTACCTCATCGGCACTTGAACCCGCGACCTTCCGGCTTGTAGCATAGTGCCTCAACCAACTATGCTAATGATGATATTGATATACGATTATAAATTATGAATAATAATTTATGATTAACTAATATTAAAGTATATTTATTTAATATGGGACAAATTTATGTTTTTATTAAAATGACATGACAGGAGGGATATATGAAAAAAGAAACGGTACTGTCCCTTTCAAAACGCTACGTATGGTTAGCCTACATTTTACGAGACAATAGGAAGTGACTAGCTATGGAAAACCTAAAACATTTAGTAACTGTGAACTGCAACAGAAAGTTGAAAGCTTGGAGGTGAGTGCCATTGTTTCTTTTTTTAAATCGTAATGAAAAAATTTTGGCTTTGTTTCATGATTTGAATTTAAGTGTAGCTTTTCGTTGCAAGTGAATCATTCAGTGATTACATAAAATTAACTTCAATACTGATTTGTTGGTCTTTAAGTAATGTAAAACAAATTTTAATATTTGGTGTGAACTTCTTATGTGCATATTTTACACGCATATTTTGGAAGGGTTTCATGCATAAACGCATACAAATTTAAGGGATTTTTAGGGCATAAAAATCCTGTTCCTAGTTGTAATGAAGGTCAGTCAGCCAGTCTGGCTTTGTGTTAAGCCCCATTTGGGGCCCAAGACCAGATTTCATCACTGCCACAGAGCTGCGGGTTTGTTGATGTGTCTGTCGTTTACAGCTGCTGCTGTCCTTCGCCAGCACAGTCATTCTCAGGTCTGAGTCCTGCGGGCTTATAACCATGGTTTACTGTCTCTAATTCAAGACTCCCCCAACCTGAACGTCCGGGTCCCTGTATTTATATCCCCAGGAACAGGATGGCCCAGTTATACCCCCAGGCACTGGGTTCCCTTTACGTCACCTCTTACGACTCGCATGACTATGATACAGGTATTTAAACCCACCTCCACACGCACAGAATCCTAAGTGTAACATCCAAAACAGTGGACCGAAAAAGAGATCACTAATTGTTAACACCCAAAAGACAGAGGAGATGGCCATTGCTAGGCAATAGTGGTAAACACATTACAGCCTTCGCTAGGCAACTGTCTTTATATTCTTGTTTATGCATAGGCAGTTCCAAATGTTTTTAGCCTGATTTCTTATTCTGAAAAAGAAAGAATAGGCTTATGATATCACCTTTATCTGTGCCTGTATTCCCCCATATCATTATTAGGCAACGGCCATGAATACACATGTAACAGGGGAAGAATTGTTGAACACATCATTTTCTGTGCTGTGTGTGTCCTATCAAAGAAAAGTAGATGATTAGTTCTTACCAGAACTTCATTTTTATTTATCAGTTCACAACACGTTTCGGCCTAGATAGGACATTGTCATGCAATTGTTGAGGAAATAGACAGATGGTGACAGACTTAATACTAGCACTGAAGTTTAACATAGTCCATCACCGTTTGGGTATTTCCTCAAGACTAACCTGACAACGGCCTATCTAGGCCGAAATATTGTTGTGAACCAGTAAAGACATTTGTTTGTGTGATGGCAACTCCTTCATTTTTATGCTTAAAAAATATGCTGTCTGTTCACATGAATAATATATGACAGGAAACGACCACTTGGGAGATCTAGGCATAGACATGTTGTGTTCGTGTTGTTGTTGATGATGATGATGATAATGATGATGATGATCTTAAAGAAATAGGGTTCATCTTGTTCACCATATGGACCAATGGTGAGCTTTTGTCAACAGGTTAGTGAACCTCTGGGTCCCGTAAAGAATGAGAATTTCTTGATCAGCTTGACTTCATGGTGTTCGTATGTAAAGTACTGATTTGTAGGAAGCATTTACAACTTTCCTACATTATATATAGGTCTATATATATATATATATGTACACAGATACATATAATACATGCTAATACCACAGTTGTAAACTTTATTGTTATAATCAGTATATTTTAAATATTTTCAACAGTTACATAAGAATCCTTGCTAATGCACAGTGATACATCATTATTAAATCAGTTTTTAAATTGAAAAATAGATATTGATGTATCATGGCCAAAATCAGATGACTGATTCACTCAAGATGTGAATGGCTGTGTTTGAAACCTTGCACTTCATAATGAAAAATGGTTTCTATACTGATATTTTGTAGAAAAGACTTCTGAGAGTTTGTGTAACACACTTTATATTTGCTTACACCACACACACAGCTAACACATTTGTACCCTCAGGCAATCTTTGTGATGTCATGTTACTTAACACAGTTATACTTTTTATGGCTCATTTCATAATCACTGGACTAATTTAAGTGCTAACACAAATTGTTTTTCTTGTCATGAAAGTAATAATGCTAACATTATAAAGCAGAAGTGTAAAAGTAAAAAAAGTAAAGCTATCTCTGTAACAGGCCGTGAAGGCCCACAGGGTTGTGAGACGTTGAGGGTCCCACATTATCTAGACAATCAGCTCAAAGATGGCGGTAAAGTTGTCATCCTTACGCGCCGGCCGCACTTTACTCCCTAGTAAAATTATTTAAATAATTCCTGGTACTTATTTCTGTTAAAACTCTCAAAAGAGTATTCATCAGTCTCCGTGGGTACCAAGGTTAACCACGATCATGAGATGCAAATATGTCATAATATTCTGAAATATTGGGTTCAAGATTGAAAGTGAAACAAAAGTTGTGGGAGGAAGGAAGTACTAAGTAAATTTTAGCAAAATTGAACAGAATATACAGAGCATGCTATATCTGTTTTAATTTTCTGCCATGCAGCTGGTAACTGTCACAGATTCAACCTGAGATATCACCAGCCTCATACTATACTTCTCATTGCTCCAAAGTTCTATGAAATAGATAACAGTTTTTTAAACAGGAACTTCCTATTTGTGTGCTATTTTTTCCCTGTCATGAGGGATACAAGCCATTTGTACTACATTCATGTGAAATATCAATATTTCTTTTACTTTAATGCAAACAGAAACTTCGTTTTTAACAAATTCTGGAGAACACTTTATACTCATTTATGACATGAAGAAAACTGGTTATCATCGCCTGTCTCTGTCAGTACACTATTTTGGTGTTGAACGTTCACTTATCTTCAGCCATATTCCACCTTTTGCTGATGTGATAAAAGACTTTGGGTCCAGTTCTAAAGGCTGTTTAGTCATCTCACATACACTAAACTCAAAGTTTGACAGAAGTACAGTAAGGCCTATTTTCGTTTGCAGCAATCCAAAACGCATCCCTGTAACAGGCAATACCCAGTGGTATGAAACACTGTGTGTAAATAATATATGTCAAAGTAATTACTGTTTGTTCACCTCATACCTTCTGAGTTGTCTGTACTAAACATCCCATGTTTAGGCAGTTTTAAAAGGCAAATTGTGTATATATTTTTTCAGCATTTGTTATCTAATGACCCTTTAATTAATAAGACTATATAGCACTGGTGATTATGATGATTAATGAATATATTCATAGACCAGTTGGCAGGGGAAACCAGAGTACTGAGACAGAAGCTGCCTCAGCCACTTTGTCCACCACAAATCCTACAATACATGACTTGAGATCAAACCCTTGACACCACAGTGAGAAGCCAGTGACTAACTGCCTGGCATAGCCAAAATTATATCTCACAGACTTCTGTTTGTATCTTAATGTCCCCATTCATTCAATAGTACAAGTTTGATGTAAACATGACCAAAATTGATATGAATACTGCCAGTGTCTGTTTCTTGATAGTACAGCAATGTGAATACCTCACAGATGGAGAGATTTAGGAGTGTAACAAATCATCTATAGTTGTGATGACTACTGATGTCCCACAGAAGTATATTCTCTGACCATTTCCTTTTTTGAAAATTCAGTTTCAGCCAAAGCAGATAATCTGATAAACTTATTTGGTTTTTATCAAGGATTATGGTCACTAGTAGTATTTTCACTAAACTTAATAGAATGGAATGCTATTTCTGTTTTATGAATGAGAATGGTATTATCTAATACCATGGGCAGACATCATCATACATTTTAGACTCAGGATAATCTCTGAGAAAACACAAAAAACAAGAATAATCTTCTACTTACCCAAATAATGTCTTACATTACAATGGAGAAAGCATTAAACACAGTGAACTAAATTTAATATCAGCAAAACAATAAAAGAGAACAAGAAACCAAAAATTTTAATACTGAAAGAAAATTGTATTAAAATATTATAATATTTTAAAGAATTTATCAGCAAAATGAATGCCAGTTTTAACTTGCAAATGATTGGTAAAGGGACTAAAAGAGTAAACTGAACATGTGAATCTAAAGATTAAATAAGGATAATTTTTAGGTTTCCTAAAGACTACAACTTTTAATAAATAAGTTCTGAATAATTCTGATAACAAGTAATATTTTAATCAAGTAGTTTCTCTAGTAATTTAGAAGTGATGCCCCTAAAGATGACTTTTTAAGGAGCTGGAACGTGCTGGGCCAAATAGCAACAAAGAGGAACAAATGATTGTGTCTATGTATAAGTATTTGTTTGATAGTTGTGTGTGACAGTGTTGAAGTGACTGGTTGAAAACAAAATGAAACAGCAGTAAACTTTATTTCAAAATAGAAAAACAAATACTGCTTGTGTGTCATGTTTTTAAGAAGGAACATTCCTGTCAGAATGGGAGATAATTATGCCCAACCAATGACAAAATTAGTGCACAGATTTTTAATGGATTATTAAAAAAAAAAAGAAATGTATTGCTCAGTAGCAGTAGGCCTATGTTACACACATATGCAAATATGAATATCTGACTTGTGACTGAAAACAGAAACAAAGGTAAAGTGAAGTCCCTGTACTTAATTCATTAAGTATGATGCTATAAAAATAAATGTATGGAGGACTGGAAATATAGAATCATATATTCTTAACCCCAGCACTAGATGCAGGCAAGTGGTCAGCTGTAAATCCTGGCCACTTTGCTCCCCAAGAAAGTATCCCCAGTGTTCATTGGATAGGAGGCTGGAGGGACCCCAGAGGCAGTATTGATGCTGCAGAGTTGAGAAAATCTCTTGTCCCTGCTCAGAATTAAACCCAAATTCCTCAGCCATAACCCATCACTATACAAACTGTTCTATCATGGCACCAGAAAAAACTACTCTTAAAATAAAGGAAAAGTGTACTACTCACTAACAGTTTAATGTACATATTGAGCATGAATTTCTGACTTGTATTATGAATATATCTGGTATATCATACTTGGTATTTATCACTTAGATAAAAAGCATCTGTGTTAAGTAGAAACCTGTTTGAAAATGAAATTTTTTCGAGTAACCTATTACCCCACTATAAGCAGATTTTACTATATGTAAAACACACAACTGTATAAATGTGTCTTACCAATGCAGTTCCTTGGTCCCTCTCCAAAGGGCAAATATGTGAAATGCGGTCTTGAAGACTTGGCTTCATCACTAAAGCGTTCTGGATCAAAACGACCAGGTTCTGGATAGTATCGTGGGTCATGATGAATGGCATATACTGGTATGACAACTCTGATGCCTTTCTCAAGTTTAGCTGAAGTGTCTGGTATGGTGTATGGCTGTGTCACAATACGAGTGATGTTTGACGCAGGGGGATGCTTTCGTAGAGTCTCTGGTGTAAAAAGCACACATGCAAAATCAGCAACTCATCATGCGTAAAAAATAAATAAAAGTAAATATACAGTGCTGCAAAGCTACTGAACTGAACTGAAGTGGTAGTTACCAATAAAATGACTGCTGAACCATAAATATGGAAGTTCTGCAGGACCACAAACACCACTTTCCTGATACCGAAACTGTGCCATTCAAATTTTTGTCTTGTTGCTATTGTCTAAGAATACATATTTTCTTTCAGAAAATGCCACATTATCCAAGAGAATGCTTAGCATTGACAGTTGAACATTAAATAAATGCAGATTCACTATAACTAAGTCACTGGCATGACTTTTCTTGGGAAGTAAATAATCATAAAATTTTCACACCTTTTATGGATGGTGAAGGTTCATTGCTATATCTGCAAGAGCTTGCAACCAGACATCATCCTGATCAAGATAAATTCAGTCCACATTCTCACATCCAATTTTTAATGTGCATTTTAATATCATTCTCCCATGTACACCAGTGTTTCCCAGGCAGTCATTTTTCTTTAGGTTTTCTTACTAAGAGTTTGTATGTTTTTATCATTTCTTCCATTCATGTTACATACCCCAGCTATCTCATCCTACTTCAATTGGTAACTCTAATAATTAACTGTATAATTTCCATAATTATTGGCCTTATTTTTCCCTTCAAGCAATTTAATCACAAAGTCAAAGTTTCTCACACTATCACAAGTAACTCATGACATGTTACACCCCTTTCTTTTGCATATGGTGCTTACAGTACCATAGACTAGATGAAATACACAATTTTGTGCATCAGACAGGATAAGTGTCTTTCCAGAAAGATTATTTTGGGTAGCAGAGTCAATTTTCTTCAAGTATATTACTGAAGTATGTCCAAGTATTAATATTAGAAAAATATACATTAATGTGAAAGCTGTTCCAGCAGTTATTTTCCATTGAAAACTGCAGCCACACAAGTATTGATCTGTAACTTGAATATACAATTGATAAAAAACTACAAAACAGTAAGTGACTGATCTTAAACTTGTCTCAAATGGGATAATTCTCATACCTTGCAAAGTAAATTTAAGTGGTACATTTTTACACACTTAAATATTCCCTTATATATTCATCAAGGAACATTTCACCAAGAAACATTTCTTGTATTTATCATTTTCTCTCTGATGCACCATTTGGGAGAAACAGGACAGTTTTTGCATACTCCTGTTCCTAAATTCGAAAAATAAGTAATTACCAACTTTCCAAAGGCGCTCTCTCCAGGAAGAAAATTCTTTGTTACTTTCATTTTTGTATGATGCACCATGTGGTAGAAATAAAGTTGGATGTTCAGACATACAGATATTTGTATGATATTCATCTGATTTCACAGGGGCTTGTACCCAGCATTTTGGAGTAGTTGTAATGTTGCAAGTTTGTATTTGAAGAACTGAATTTTAACAGGCTACTGGCCCTTTATTCTTTTTTCATTGTCTCCAGGTGAATGCCAGGATATTGCCTTCACATAAGCCATTACCTCCTTCTAAATCTGACCTTCTCACCATTCATGATCATTCTCTTGTTATTCAACATTATATAACCTCTGAAGTGGAAACAGTATTGTTAAGTAATGTGATGGTCAATGAATATGGAAAGTTTAAAATAACTTGATTTAAAGAGAGTTAGACCACCTTATTCCAGCACAATACTAATTAAATCCTTCATCAACAAGCAAGTGACTGAAAGTTTTATTTCATTAAACACAGTCCTTCCCTGTTCTGAAAGCCTGTAAAACTAATATTGTTGTACAGTGAAAATTTCTTACCATCTATCACTTGACCGAGATATTTCATGCTCTGAACACCATCATATGTGATCTGCCCTCCCATCTTCCCAAGTGTTGCATCTATCTCTTCCCTGAGTTTGGTTTGAATATCTGGATTCACAGCAAGCTCATACAAGCAGAAGCTCAGTGTAGTGGATGATGTTTCAAATCCAGCCAAGAAAAATATGAATGCCTGAGATGCCAGTCTGCTGTCAGTAAAGACTAGAATTTAAGAAAATTAGGTTATACACTTTCATTATACAATAATATAAAATTTCTCCTTAGTCATGACCTTCCAATAGTTTAATGCCAAAAAATTGTTATTCATCCAAGGGCAATCCTTGGAACTAACACTCTGTTTCAGGAATACTTATTAGGTTTCACAGGTGCCACCAAGATCCTTTTGAAAGGAGCGCAACCAGAAAATTTTTATACAAACCTTTGTGTGAGTCATTTAAAACTAATTTTACTGATCACCCAAGTTTATTCAAGGATACATTTTTTTAATTGCAACTTTTGATACTACTTAGAAGAGTTTGTTCTTTCTTCCAAAAATCTTGAGGGACGGGGGGCACATGCCTGGCTCCTCTCCCTTGATAGACTAATAGACTGTATTATGTAAGCTGGATATTTCCCACTGGAACAAGAAATCCTACCATTGTGTTTCAGCTTTGTGAAATTTAATTTAGTTACAGCACAATAATTTGTTTTTTTGTAGATTTATTTTAACATAATTTCCACTTTTTGTTTTAAATGGCCTCACAGTTCTATGTGTATTTCTACCTCCACTGTATACTACATATTTTATAACCAGCCAATTATAACGTTATTCATTTGGTTCCCATAATACTACTATGTGCAATGTATAACTACTGAGAATAGTCATATAGCTTCACACGTTTTAATTCTTTACCTGCAGAAGTTAGAGGGAGAAGGCATCGCTGGCAACAACCTAATGGTGAAAGCAAAATTAGTTCTGCATACAGTATATTTTTGTGATGGATAGAATAATCAACTACATTCAAAATTTTAGTTTGTTGAGTGTGATGGCTGTCACCTTTAGAATCCACCAGATCTATGATGAAGGTATGAATGGCTAGGGGTCTGAAAGTTAAGGTATAAATTCCTGCAACTGACTGAAATGTCTCATCACCACCACCACACTCATATGGCTCCAGGACCTATATAACATCCAATTCAGAGGGTGCTTAGGACTCTTTCTGCTGTGATAAAGCAGTCAGAGTAAGTGGCTGATCATTTATGCTGTGTAGTTTAAAGGCTTTTACTTTTACACTCCATCCTCACCAACACGGTAGAGTGTTCAGAAACACCATCAAACTTCATCTTTACCTTCCACCTGGATATAAATAATAAAATATACCAAAAGCATAAATTCTGAAATGCCCTGTTAATCCTCAGAAATATCAGTGTAACGGTAAAGTAAATAATTAAAAGGTAAAGCTATCCCTGTAACAGGCTGCAAAGGCCCATAGGGTTGTGAGACGTTGAGTGCCCCACATTATCTAGACAATCGGCTCAAAGATGGTTGTCAGCCTTACGTGCCAGCTGCGCTTTACTCCTCAGGAAAATTATTTAATTAATTCCTGATACTCATTTCTGTTAGAGACTGAGTCGACCCCAGGGCCATAGTGCGGCTGGAAGGATTAGGTCAATTGAAAAATCCAACGACCTCATCGGGACTTGAACCCGTGACCTTCCGGCTTGTAGCATAGCTCCTCAACCAATCACTGTAACGGTTCAACTATAAAAGTACCGTCACTATATTTTCAGTTTCTGAAAGCTAATTATTTTTAAACAAAATATAAGAGCAGGTTAACCTGGTCTGCCTGTTTCAGTTTTGATCTGTTATTTTTAAAATGTCATATATGTACCAAATAATGACATATCTTCTATCAGTCAGTACTGACTGTATACTGACCTATATTTTCTGTGATGTTCACACCATTTTTTGCTGGCAGTGTTGTATTATTTGTAGAGAATTCCTTCTTCATGTTTTCCTTGTTAACTTCATCATCTTCCTGAATGTGTCCTTGGTTCTTCAATTGGATAAGTTGCTGCATGAAATCATTACGTACTATGTTGTGCTGCTCCCGGTACTTTATTGTCTCTCTGACAGCTGATATGAAGAACTGGGTGACTTCCCAAGGTAGAACTCGGATACCAAGTTTGGGCACAAGTAAGCCAAGCAGCCGCCTTACCACATTACTTAAAGAAGGCTCTACAACTTTACGTCCCATGTTTCTAAATTCTGAATCTGGGTCTTTCAGTGAATTGCACTTCAGACCAAAGACACAGCTGCCAATAATATCAGTGGTAAATTTTGCCATGATTTCCTTGATTTCCAGATCTTCATTTCTTGAAGCAGGTCCTGCTAGGAAGCTTCTGAGTTCCTCTGCACATTCATTCATCAAGTTAAACATCATCTTCATCTTTCCAGAAGTGAATGTTGGTGTAAGTTTTGCACGCAGTCTACGCCACTGGCTGCCTCTCATGTTCAAGAGGTGTGCACTCAGTGGCTCTTTCTTTTCATTGAATGAAACTCGTCGGTCCTGTAACAGAAAATATCTTATTTAAGTGTTATAACGGGCTCTTCTATATTATGAAAATATTTATATTTCTTTACAACAATTTAATTAATGATAATTTTGTATTTCAGTATTATTGATATTTGAAAGCACTGCTATATCTTTTGCATTAAAAATTCATATTATTATAATGCTGGAAGTAACTTGTCACACAAAACCTTCAAATCTGAATGACTGAATGGGTGCAAGGATATTGAAAAAATATATTATATTGTTGTGGACTGACTGAACAGATTGGGTCAGAACCAATAAAATTTTATTCCCCCCATGTCCATGCCCACATGTAAGGAAGATTAATATTCTTATTTACAAATTCACATTTTAGGAGTTTACATTTATGTTACATAATACACATTTTTTTTAACAACTTTTTCTCATTTTCTGTTGCCAAAAATATTTTAAACAAAGGGGCTATGCCCCACTGTGACCTGTAGTTGAACACGTCACTCCTCTTGGTATAAATACAATGCCTTGTTGTGTCAAGGCAACTTTCAAATTTAAACTTTATTTTCGTCCATAACTGAAGTGAATATGATTGGACGTATCAAGAAATAATAGCGAATACATCACATGTCAAAGTCACATAAAATGTACACAGTGATTTATCACTATAATATAGCAACCGTTATAAGGAACATAACAACAAAAAATACAGAAGACCAAATGAAAAATGTCAGTAACATAAAACACGTAAGCACAATATTAAAACTTGCAAACCAAAAGACAATCAACAAGCTAGTCATCAAACCAACATTAGTTGAAAAATTCTTGAAGAGAATAGAAAGCGCTGCATAGCAAATAATTTTTTACTTTACTCTTAGAAACACTAAAATTTTTAACGCTTTTCAATTCAAGGGGAAGGCCATTAAATATTTTAGTTCCAATATTAATTACACTTTTTTGCAAAGATCAGTATTACAAAATTGGACATACAAATTATGTTTATGTATGGTATTGTAGCTGTTAATGTCAGAATACTGAGTTGTATATGTCTTACTCATTATTATAAAACGTAAAATCTCAAATATATATATTGAGGTAACAATTAAAATCTTAAATTCACCAAACATATTTCTACAGGATACTCTTATTATTAACACCTATCATCACTCTTAGACATTTTTTCTGTATTTTAAATACAGTTTCGGAGTCCTTAAGCCCCCCACCCCAACAAATAATACCATATTTCAATACAGATTCAAACTCAGTAAAATAAACATTTCTTAATACAGGAGGGCTAACTGAGTCACATAAGGATTTAATCAAATAAAGAACCTTGTTGAGCTTTTGGCATACGTATTGAGCGTGAGTTGCAGGGTTTATATTCTGCTAGGCTCTTCTGTGCCATCTACCACACACAGGTTAATCATACAGACAAACAGATCAGTGGTTTTATATTGTAAGTGCTTTGGCAGGGATGCATATGACCCTAAAAATGCTTCACTTACCATGCCAGACCAAAAATAACCCTCCAATCTTTCTTTTAGGTTCTTTCATATTGACAGCAACAGAGATACATTTTACACTAAGTTATTTCAGATTTTCCTTTAAATTCAGTTCATCATTTCATTGCTTTTTTCATGTACTATAGCTATTTAATATCAGCAATGAAATGATATTCCTCTCTAATGCTGTAATATTATTCCTGAAATTACTACATAATCCAGTATTTACACAAGGTTTGTAACAAACTTAATTGTATTCATACTACACACTTGTCACTCTGAGGAAACACACAAGCAAGCACACATGTATGCATGCCTCACAAAATCTTATTTAATCTCACAGAGATAAATAGCACCAGAAACCTGAAATATTATCAAAATTTTATGAGGGCCCACATCTGCTGACCAAGAAGTATCCAAACAGACTTGCAAAGGGAAGGTGTGATATCTATTCAGCACCATAAGCAAGTAGAAGGAACTTCCATGGAAAAGTGAGGCTCTTTATAGATGTCTTGCAAACTAGGAAATTTCTCTGCAGATTTTGAAAAACCTTTTTGTGATCTACAGAACGTAAGCAAGTTATGCATCTATCAAACTCCTTTAATGTCATGCTAAATGCAAATAAATTAGAAATTCTTCTAACTACTTTTTATACACTAAGGATATTAAATACTGGTGGGGCCCAGCCCAACAGGTCCTTATCAGTGGGCTGTCCTGTGTTTAAAATATCTGTTGTTTTGAGCAAGGAAAAGTTAAAGCTAATATAAAACATGAACTGCGGTAGCATAGTTGTTATAGTGACTGGCTATGGGCTGGATGACTGAGGGGTTAGGGTTCAAGACCCGGTAGGTTCAAGAAATTTCTCTTCTCCGTGTAATCCAGACTGGCTCTGTGTCCATTCAACCTCCTATACAATGGGTACTGGGGGCTCTTTCCCTGGGGATAAAGTGGCAGGGACATGAAACTGACCATTCATCTCCAGCTAGTGCCGAGATCAAGAAAATGTGATCTATACATCTACGCCCCCACATGACTTCATGGTGTAGTGCTTAACTAGTTAAGCACAGAAACAAGATTTTGGAATATAAAACATAAATTGAAAGTATTTTTAACAATTTTGTAGTATTTATGGCAAGTGAGTGAAATGTGTGGACTGCTGTTCTGAAAGAAGAAGGATAATGAAATACAAAACTCTGAAGCTGAGAAAATTTGAGGAAAAATCCACATGTTCAACATCAAGACAGAAAGCTTTTATTGAGTAACAGCAGACAATAAAGTGCAAGCTGGAATGATTTAATTTTACTGGTAACTGAATAGAATAGGGACCAGTGGAGGACTCTTGTGAACACAGCAATGAACCATTGGGTTCCATAAAATGCTGGGAAGCTCTTGAGTATCTGCACAACTGGTGTCTTCTCAAGAAGGGCTTAGCTCCATGACTGAGTGAGTGAGTGAGTGAGTGAGTGAGTGGTAATTGAATATCTTCTGCAAAGAGAATACTAAGATGTTACTCGAATAAATTTCTCCAACAAGATAAAAGAGCTCAGATACTGTACATAGATATAATGGAATGTATATGTAGGTTATAACTGAACNTTTTAAGGGCGGAAAAATTCAGGGAACAAGTACTCCGGGAGGGACTTTAAGCCGTGGGTCCCATGTTGTAGCTTTAAGGCACGTAAAAGACCCTCATGTCCCAAGGGGATCTCTGAGCCAAATTCAGGACATTTCCCGCCCAAAAGTAGTCTCTAACGCCTCTGGTAGATGGGGGAAGCATCTAGATACCGCTGAGCCAGTAGAGGCCAGACTCGCTGGCTGAGTCAGGACTCATGGCACGAACCAGTACCGGTAGGGTATAGAGACTGGTAGAATATCAGAGGGGGACGCACAATGGACCAATATCTGGTCTAAGTGCATGGGGAAACCCACCCTCTCCAACAACAACAACAACAACAACAACAACAACAACAACAACAACAATAACAACACCTTCTCTGAATCATAATTATGTAAGTCATGATTCCATAAATAGTGCTCTGTGATAAATCACAGAGTTACTAATTTCAGATCCTAGTAATATGTCTAAAATACAGGCTTACAATTTGATATAATAAGAAGAAGGAAAGGGAATAATCTCTCATAAATATGGCACTGTTGTAGCCCTGTATTTTAATAACTATTGCTTCAGCTCAGTTTCTTCCGTACTTAATTAATTCTTCAGATATTTTGTTGCGCATGATAAGCATTCTTCTAAGCAACAAAAGTGATCTTGTGGAAAAAGAGAGTAGCATTAGTAACCAGAGGAAGGCACTAACTTTATTATCATTTTGATAGGTTGACTACTTGCACATTTAGTTATAACATATGAAGTTATCACCTTTTATACTGTAACTTGCTTCGAAGCTTCCAATCTATATTGGTTTGGTGTTTAATATCAGTGATAGAAATATGTCCCATTATTTCTCAACAGTCATAGCATAAATTACACCGTAAAAGCAGATGTACCCATTCATAATATTGCACAATATTAAAAATAACAAGATCACCTGAAAGTATGGGAAGTCCTTCACCATTACAAGTCTGATAATATCTGGGTCCCTGATCACAAGAATTGGCGATCGGAACTGGAACACTCCACAGAATGGTTTTCCATCAAAAGCATCATAGAATATCTTGAATTGCTCAGCAAATGAGGTCTTGAAAAACATCTTTCTTGTATTGCCAAATCCAGGTGTTGGTTTGATGTAAGGGATGCCTTTCTCCTTCCAGTAGTTGAAGGTACATGTGGAGTACCAGTAGATTAAATAAGCAAAAATGAAGGCAATGGGCAGCCAACTCTGGAAAACTGCCTCAGTTATTACTCCAAGCATGGTTATTTTCCTGTGAACAGAAATATTACTTTATATTCAAAGGTTTGAACTTGAATGTACGTGTATATTCATGGGACCGAAGCTTCAATGACACATGTATGATCACAGCACCAAAATTTTCAGACTTTGGAAACATTAGTTTTATATTCTTCGTATATCAAGAGCAATTTCAATTACAAGATCTTTAATTGCAATCAAACGTATATGTGGAATGTGAATATGACCCCTCTCCCCAATTGTTATCACTTTCTTGTGGTGGGAAGATTCAGGAACCACCATAAGCCACATAGTTATATGGTTGAATCTTACACTTGTTGGCTTACCAGGGGGTTATGGTAGACTGCCAATGTTAGAAGATCTTATTGAGCATCCCCAGAACTTCAGAAAGAGGAAGCTGTCAAGTATAAAACAGATGACAGAAAAGAAGGTTATTGAAAAGTAGGATAGCTGAGAAAGGCCTTCTAATCAATGGGACAGCTTAACATTATTACCCTACATTGTATTTGAAGTCCACAATCCACCCACCCCCCCAAATAATAAATCATTGGAAGCAGCACATTCTCTCCCTATTAAAGGAGAGTGAGCTGAAGAAGTTGGCTGAAGTGGTTATGTTTTCTGCTTATATTCAGAAGGTGGCCAGTATAAATTTTGGATTCCAAACTATTATGAATGAAGTTTCCATGGTCCTCCTCACGTTGTATAGCCTCAAATTAGGCCATAGCCACTTCCTTGAACATTATTTACAATTCATTATTCACTAATCATCCTACAACTCAACCTTAAACTGTCTGAGCTATTGATAGCATCATTAAAGAAACCATAACTAAATAAATTAAAAAATGTAGAGAATTTAGATTATTAGTGTTCATGCAAGAAATAACACAAGTGAATTTGAAAGACCTCTTAATGAATGTTCTGTAAATTAGGTCCTACAGGATGCCAATAGAGCAAGTTGTGCAAATTATTTTATTACATTCACAACAGTTCCTTAGAACTGTCAGTTATGTTTATTTGAAGTTAGGTAGATGAGGATAAAATCACCCCTAAAACCCAGCAAATATCCCAAGTATATATTATGAATTTGGAGTTTTATGTATAAATGCCCAAGGCTTGCTTGGATGTCCTGACTCTGTCCTCAGAATTGTATATGCTGTTACAAGTAGTACAATAGTTACATGATGGACCATCAGGTAGCATTACAGTCTCAGTCTTTGCCAAAAATAAATTTTCGCTTTTGATGACAGGAATCTTTAGTGAAGTCGTGATTTCATTTTATGAGGAACATAAGAGTGGATGAGTTGACGGGTTATATGTAGAAGCTGTAGCTAGAGATGGAGGGAATTGTAGAGGGAATTGTTCTCTTTACGCTAAAGTTGTGCCAATTTGTTGCATATAAGATATTTCAGAATAACGTTTTGCTGCATACTGTAGCAGGGGAAGACTACATAGAGTACATGGGAAGAAACGTGGTGATAATGTTGAGGTAATAACTATTAGTAAAGTTTATTAAGTTGGTGTCATTGTTTATTATGTATCTGAAGGCTACATGTCTCCACCACTAACTTGTTATAGTTAACTTCCGTTTCGGCTCAGAGAAATGCATTCTCTACTGTATAGTGAAGAATTATAGGATGAGTTTTTAAAACAATAATGCAGTGTTATGAATATTAACATCATCTTCATTGGTTGCATCCTGTTGTGTTCTACAGATATATATCTCATCTATATATATAAGAATTATGTCACCATCAAGACAACAAACAGAGTTTTATTTTAAATCTTATACTGCTACATGTTTATGTCAAATAAGACCATCATCAGGCAGTTGCACACAGGAATACGTAGTCATTGAAAAATACCAATATGAATTCTTATTGGTGCAACACGTCTTGTTATGTACTGATATAAAACTACTACCTCAAGTTTATGTTATAATAAAGTAGCAAATACATAAAATAAGATGAAAAACAAATATAAAGGTATATCATATATAAAATTATAATATGTTGAAGTGATATAGAAATATTAAAGGTACATTAAAAAGTATATTAAAAATGTTAAAAAATGTGAAAGGTTTCCAATGATAGGTTGAGAATTGTATGCCAACTTAAATATTTTACGTTCCACTGCTACAGTGTAGAACTAGAGCATGTATGTTGTTTGTAGGTCTTACTGTAGAAGCTTTCTACATAGTAAGCCTGGTTGTGGAGCCCAAAGACAAGTTACTATGATGCAGGGTTTGTAGTGTATGGATATTAGTATGCTTTTCACATGATATGTATCTTTATATGGTTGTACAATATGGCGTGTTTATGTTCTGTGTGTTCTACACTGTGTGGTGGTTCAATTATATATTAAAAGGGCCCAGCATTGTGATTATTTTAAAATGAAATCTAGATTCAGAATAAAGTGTTTAAAGTTCAGCTTATTATGACAAGTTTTTGAAATTATGCCCCAACATACTGCATACATAACCGAGCACAACGAATGATATTGGATATGCTGGCTTTTAGTTAATTCAGATTGCTTGGGTTATTACAGTAGGCACTGTCTTTAATGTTGCCCCCATAAAAAATATCAAGTGATGACAAATCTGTTGGATGTGAGGGACATAGACCGCTAAATGTCATATTGTCCACTACTGGCACTGAGTACCTGAGTACTGCATACTGAACTTTTTGTCAGAATGGCCCTATTCCTCTAATACATGATTATTAACATTTTTAACATCCCCGGGAAAACAGAAGACTGTTGAATAAGGTCTGAAGTGCTTAGGACTGCTGGAAATTTTGCTCCCATGTGAATCTCAACATGTAAACTTACTGATATACCATTTCACGTTCTATTTTAAGGATTTAGTCTCTGATATTGCCTCTGTGCCTAAGCACCATGGTATAAGAGCGTGCAGTGTGCCAGTGTGCCTGGGAGAAAGCTGTACGCTGGGCCGGATTTGCAGTTACAAGGGGCCCTTGGGAAATGAAGTTAGAGAGACCCCCATCAGTAAAAATACAAACTAAATTTTGTGACTTTTGAGAAGCAAATGAGTCAATAAAATCTTTGGAATTTATATTACTGTTTTGTGGAGGCCACGGAGCGACCGCCCCTGCCTCTCCACCTTACATTTGATCCTGGTTATGCGTCTTGTGGATTATGGCACATTTAAAAGTATTTTGACACTGAAGCTGAAGTTATAATTGATTTCGTATTATTCGGCACATCTGTTAAATCTCACTATGTCAAGGGTATCTAAAATCGAATGTACTTGTCAGAGTCAGGCAACGACTGCAGTGAATATGTAGTCTGCTACTCTGTGGGATGAAGTGTTTGAAGCTGACCTTAGTGTTACAACGAACAAATGGGTCGAATCTTGCATGTACAATTACAATTCATCAAACATATTCGTGCAACTTCTCACGGCTCGACAGCCTAGTCTGAAGAGATTACACTCACACGACACAAAGTAACCCGAATATGGGTGAACAGCACCCAGCATACATACAGGTGTCACATCTGTTTCTTTTTTTATCATGTTTCGGGGAGTTTTCCGGAATTTTCTAGGTTTCCCTTTACCCTGGAATAAACACGTATCTGAATCAGGCCAGACTTGGGGCCAGAACACCGGCTATCCACACTGAGGGTTTTCTTGGTTTTCCTTAATCTCTTCAGGAATATTCCGGGTTGGAACCTCAAATAAAAGACAGTCACTTCCTTCTGCATCCTTTCTAGTTTATTACTCACTGGTCATTCTACCATTTGACGCCACAGCGTGTACTCTGGGACATAAACTTCGTTGTTAAATACTCTAAAAAGGATTCGATTGCATAAATTATGCAGAATGAATATGATGGGAAGTTGATCATAAATGGTGAGTAGGATTTCGGTCATATACTCGGTAAACTAATGAACCTTTTGGTCCGTGATGTTACTTTCGCGTGAATCTATACTATAAAGACAAATAATCGCTGTTTAGTGTGAGAATCACATGAAACACTAAGAGCATAATGTGGGGAAGGTGAGGAGTTTCTGAAGTGTTAATGCAGGCGGTATATATAGCTGCCTGCCTGTCCTTCCCTGCCTGCCTTGCCTGCGGCTCTACAGCCCTTTGTTGGACCTTGGCTGCTCTTTTCAGTTTCTTGATATTTTACGGTAGGACTCCTTGGATGGGGATCAGCCCGTCGCAAGGTCGCTACCTGCACACAGGACAACATAAACACAGAATAAACGAATACACAGACATCCATGCCTCGAGTGGGATTCTAACCCACAATCCCAGTGTTCCAGCGGACGAAAACGGTTCATGCCTCAGACCGCGTGGCCACTGCGATCGGCACACATAGCAACATTATAATGTAAATGTATAAGATAGCACAGCAATAAATATAATTATATTGGAACCTCGCTTAACGAGCATAATTCGTTCCAGAATCTTACTCGTAATGCGAAACACTCGTTAAGCGAAACAATTTTTCCCATATAAATTAATGTAAAATACGATAATGCGTTCCATGCCGAAAAATTCTCAAAAATTTTATGTATAACGTTTATTCAAAGAAAATTATATATACATTGTTAAAGAGCGTGAATCATTTCATCTTTTCTTCTATGCGGAATGAACAAACCTGGAATGAGAATTCGATTTGCAGAAAACAAAAAGAAAATCGAAATAATTAGTTTATTATTTAAGATACATATCTAATTCTTTTTTACCAGAAAGGAGCAACCTTTCAACAGCGTAGAGAATACGTAACCGTTGCGTAGATATTCTTGTCACTCCCTTTGAAGCATCTATCTCCTTATCTTGTCCTTGTTCTTGAGGATAGTGCAAATCGTTGATGTAGACCGACTGTATGTGCGTGCTAGATCAGCCACGCTCACACCTCGTTCTCGCTTTTCAATGATTTTACTTTTCATTTCTACGGTTATTTTTATTCTCTTATGGCTGTCTTTTTGCGGCCTTTTCTTCGGGGGCATTTTTGCAAGGGTTATTAAACTTTTCACAAAAAAATCACA